AAATACTGAACAAGTTGGAGGATGTTTATCCTGATAATTTCTTCTAAAGATCAGATGTAACACAAACTAGGAACAATGGTTTCGAGCTCAACAAATCTCAAATGTAGAACTGAGAACAGGAGATGTTTTTTCACCCACAGGGTTATAAACCCATGGAACTGCCTACCTGCCGAAGTCACAAACGCCAAAACTCAATTAGGTTTTAAAATCCACCTGGAAAGAATCATCAAGGTAAATGGGGGGGGGGGACCTTCAACAAGCCGCTGGCTTCCTGTCCTCGTCGAGGCCACTAGTGTTAATGTCCTTACGGTAAATAACGTAATAATTATTCCATACTAGAATGTGTTGAGTAGTTAAACTTAACTTAGGAGGTTGGACTGTTGTAACGGTCGGTTGCACAAGACCTAGCACCTCTCCTCCCCCCTCCCTCTGTTCATCCCTCCCCTCCTCCCCTTTCCCCTCCGCCCATTTGTGTAAGTCAAGATGAGGCCACTGGTGGCTGGGCGGCCCCTCTCCCTGCCCTCTTTTCCCCAACTAAATTCCCCTCTCATTTCCCTCTGAACCCCCACTCTTTCCCCTCTTCCCTGCCTCCACTATAGCCGTGGACAAGATAGGGCCAATAAAACTCAGTGCCATAAAGCCGTATTCTCAAATTTCTCTTGGGTGGCTGGTCAGACGAATCTTGTTCACATGAATCTAGTTGTAACTGCTTATTTCCAAGATTCCGTGAGAAGATCGCCTCCGGGCAGTTGTCGGTCATTTCATTGGCCAAGAGCAGGGGCTTTCGTTTCATTGGTTAGTGGTGCCAGGGTACTAGGCCTGGAGGCTCAAGTGATTGGACTAAGTCTGGGAGGCGGAGTCCTCCCGGGTAGTGCTGGACACCCATTGGTCAAGGGACCAGGGCGTCCAGTTTTGGTTTGAATTGATTGGCGCTCCTAGCCCGGAGCCAAGCTCGTGGGGAAAATCATAGACCTCCCTGGGGTGGTCAAAGCAAATTTTAGTCATTGTGTCTTGGGTGTGACTTGGAGACAGGTCCAAGGGACCTGGGGGCAGCCATTCAACATCTATGGCCGGTAATTGCAGGATAAGGTAATGTGCCCTTGAGTACTCAAAGGTATGCACTGTTCAATCAATGTATACCTTTGCCTCATAGGGATGTTTTTAGAGTAGGATATATTTATATATGTTTTTAGAGTAGGATATATTTATACAAATTCATTAACGGGGGGTTTGGTGGATGCATGGAATGAACTTTGGGTCTTTGTTTAGAGGACGTGCTGCAGAGACAGCCCGTCCCCCAAACAAAGACCCAAAAGTGATTCCATGCACCCGTGAAACTCCCTGTTCATGAATGAAAAACGGTTTACAAACCACTCACAACTGAGGACATTCGAACATTTCCGGAACAAGTGCTTCGCTGACGACTTTTGTTCGAATCACAACGCTGTAAATGTCAGCCCGTCCTCCAAACAAAGACCCAAAAGTGATTCCATGCACCCGCCAAACCCCCTGTTCGTGAATGAAAAACGGTTTACACACGACTCACAACTGCTGACGTCCGAACACTTCCGGAACAAGTGCTTCTCTGACGAATTTTGTTCGAACCACAACGCTATAAATGCTTCACCCACGTACTACATATACAAATAATCGCCAACAGAACCTAAACACCTAACCTAACCTATCTTATGCCTATATATACACAATATGCCAATATATTATTAATTCATACTTGAGAAAATTCCCGTTTTGAATGAACAGCGTGTTAAAATTTATGAATGCGTCTGTGGGGTCGACCACTGAATGTAATGAACTTGAGTCGAGGACGGGTTGTAAATGTAGTATTTGTATTTGTAGTACCCACGTACTACAAATGTAAATATTCGCCAACAGAACCTAAACACATAACCTAACCTAACCTAACTTAACCAATGCACAGTATGCTAATATACAACAATATTCATTTATATTTGAGGAAATTCCTATTTTGAATTAACAGCATGTTAAAATGGATGAATGTGCATTTGGGGTCGACCGCTGGATGGAATGGACTTGAAATGGTCTGAGGATGGGTTGGCAAACACCCAGCCTATCCTCCTGTTTTGGTAGTACTTATAGTAACGACTATAGGACCATTGCACATATATTGACGTAAAAGGCAATTATAAAGTAGAAATCGGTACTATTGAATTTGGACAAACCAGAAAAGGTTTTGTATTTATGTTGCATAGTACTATTATAGTACATATATATGTGCTATACTAGTCCTAGGAATATTTAATTTATTTGTTATATATTTTTTCGAACTGTAAAGTGAATAGTACCAAACTCTACTATCTAATTGCCCATTATGTCAATATCGGAACGGAAACCTAACGGAACCTAACCTAAGTTAGACCTAACCTTGCAGTATATTTTAGTATATAATAATATTACCTAATATATGGGAATAAACTAATTTAGAATACGCATTACGTTAAAATTTATTAATACGTCTTGATTTGGCCACTGCCTGAACTAGCCTAGCCTGATGGCAGGTAGCCTCTATTAATTCTTCTTTCATGTACTGCAAATATCAATAATGACCAACAAAACTAAACCTAAGATAGGTCTAACTATTCAGCACAGTCTACTATGAAATGGTATATACTTTATATTTGAGAAAAAATCATTTTCAATACGAAGCACGTTAAAATTGCAGCCGGTTATCAACAAAGGTAGATGTAGGTTAGGCTAGGTTTTGTTGTCCATTATTGGTATTTAACCCATCCTCCAGCTCAATCAATAGGTCAAATAGGAAATGTATATGTTTATCTCTCAGAATGTTCGGTAATATGTTTATTGCTTGTGATGTGTGTCTATGTATGTATTAACACGATGTACTGAACGGGGTGAGAATAGCTTGACCTACCTCATCCCTTTGTGTGTATTTTACCTCAATAAACTTATTTCAATTTCAATAGGTCAAATACTTAATTTTGTATTAAATTAGTGCAGTTTTTTAGTTAATGAGCAGACAACCAACTGACAGGATGAATTTTCCTTACATTATAATAATGAAAGTTTATGAAATGAAAATTAATATTATATAGTAGGTTTATGTATAGTTAGGTCTAGGTTAGGTTGGGTGAGGTGTTTTAGTTACGTTGATTTGAATAGAAATTGAAATAGAAATAAGTTTATTGAGGTAAAATACACACAAAGGGATGAGGTAGCTCAAGCTATTCTCACCCCGTTCAGTACATCGTGTTAATACATACATAGACACACATCACAAACAATAAACATATTACCGAACATTCTGAGAGATAAACATATACATTTCCTCCTTTACACAAGTAACGTTGATTTAGGGAGGGTTTAGATTACACGCTGTACGGTGTACGTGTCGAGTCATAGCTTCTACCATGGCTAGGTTGTTTGTTGTTGTTATAGATTCAGCTACTCTGAACAAGTTCCAAGTAGCACGGGCTATGGTGAGCCCGTAACTTACCTGGCACAGGAGCGGGGTAAGTAGCACGGGCTATGGTGAGCCCGTATTGGACTTACCTGGCACAGGAGCGGTGCTGTGTGCGCATGGCTAGGTGGACTATAAGTCCAAATACTGATTTATGTAGAATATATGTAGTCAGCATTTGACTTATATGTTTGTGAAGGTCCGAGGCCTTTGTTTTGTTGATGGGTTGTGAGCACCGAGGAATTTCCCATCTACTCTGCTCGTAATTTGGGTATTGTTAATTCTCACTTTAATTTGATTGGTGGACCTGCTTCCAAACAATGTGTAATTTGTTTTTTCAATGTTAAGGTTGACTTTATTAATTTATAATTAGTAGTTCGGCATAGTCTAATTTGTTTAGCGCTTTCTCCTCATTATTACCTCACCTCAGCATTCACTTTGTCAGAATAAGTTTGTTAGTATTTTATGAAATAAAAATGTTTCAACAAATAGATTGCCTTTAGGTGTTGCATTGGATTTAGTAGGTCATTGATGCAAAGTAGAATGAGGAGAAAGAGAATTATCAGGGAATGGAACTATCAGGAGAAAGCGCCGGGCCATTATGACTATATAGCACTAGGAAGGGGGGGGGGTCAGGATAAGGATTTGGGATGGGACAGGGAAAGGAATAGTGCCCAACCACTTGGAAGATCGGGGATTGAACGCCGACCTGCATGAAGCGAGACCGTCGCTTTACCGTCCAGCCGTGGGTTGGGATGACGGCGGGCTGTAATAATAAAAATAAATAATAATAATAATAATAATAATTAAATGTAACTGTCAGTTCATTAACCTTAGAACATAGGCTATGTTTAGATCAAATTGTTTATTGCTTATTTAATTTATACTACTTTAATATGCTTTAATATTTACTACTTTAATATGCTTTAATATTTACTACTTTAATATTTAAAGGGGAAAATGGGTTCGATAAGAGGTTCCACAATGTATGACGTCAGCTGGAAGACACTGGACAGCTGACTGGGAAGTTCCCCAAGGTGATGGGATTAAATAATCAAGATACCCTGTATATATTATTTGTTTTATTATTTCAAATTTAAATCTTAAATGTCTGAATTGATAATCACACACTAGTCTTCTTTGTAAGCTTAGAAATATGGTCTTGATGCTATAGTCTCCCATTTGTCAATTATACGATTTCTTAAATTTTTGCAGGTCCCGCTGGCGAAATGTGGAAGACTCGTTTTGCGCACTTTTCTTCAATGACGGGGGTGGCTCACCACCTCACCTGGCTGGCGGGCGAGCCTACCTGAGTCAAGGCTTGTCTGGACTGAACTATATATTCCAGGAATCACCTTTTTCTCTTCCTGTTTAATTGCTACATATCATTTACATGTTTAGATGGTTAGACTTGTTGAAGATTTAACAGTTCATATAAGTTAGTCCTGATAATACAAGACAGTGATATGTGTAGAGAAACGACGAGTTGTTGAAAAAAAGAGAACTGGCATCTGGCGGGAGGTGGTCCATGAGACAGGTGAGAAACTCAATGGCATGTTCAGTGTTGGTTGTAAGTCCGTGTGGGGCAGGTATATACACTCGCTGCGTCGGGATATTAACATTACACGACGTAACTCTTACATGTGGTCCTTCTTGCACAATTAACAAAGACGGAGGACAAGATAATTTACCTTTATAGTCTGGAAAGGTAACGAGCGCAGTTCTAATTTTCCCTCACGAAAGCCTGCTATTATACACACACAAGTTTTGAGAACTTTTTCGACTGCATGTGAAGGATGAGGTGGAGGGCGAGGTGTGTGGTAGCGGGCTTGCCCTCCTGACCACACTGCTGGGTGGCACACGGCTCACCAGGACAACCACACACACACAACCACACACACACACGTGGGCGCCAGCAAACATGGTGTCATGGTCGTCCTTCCCTCATGAAGGCTCCTGAACACTCGCCCACAGTGGTCAGCCATCAGCGGTGATGCAAGACCAGGCTGAGCTACCTCGCTGCTGACCTGGTACTTCTGTGTGCTCCACGACCTACATAATTACTGTGTTATCTCTCGTGTTGTGATCATAGTGCTTTCTCCGCCTCAAGAAAATTGTTATCTCAACTTATTAGGGAGCAAACCCCCATAAAGATTGTATTTACACGCCTCTTATCACATAATAGTGAGCATCCACCAGGCAGCCTCCCTGGAAATACAGAATATTTTAAGTGTATTAGATCAGCAGCTGAGGGGACAAGGAAGGCAAATTCTTGGGAGTGTAGCCCAGGACAAGGTGGGCGTGGGGGGGTAGGGCACGGGCGTACCATGCGTGGGCGTGATGCCAGTGAGCTACCAGAGGCGTGGCGGCGGTGAGCTCGGGCTGCTGGAGCGGTCAGCGGTGGCACTCGTGGGTGACCAGTGGCACACCGACGGCGAAGGAATGCCGGGGGACGCTAAGTATGAGCTTGAGGACTACGTTTACGAGATGGAGTGTCGAGCAGGCGAGATGGCCCGCTCCGAGGAGGCCGAGGACATCCACGCCCGCTTGGCCCAGAAGGAGAGGGACCTCATCTTGGCCGCCGAGCTGGGCAAAGCCCTCCTGGAGAGGAACGAATTGCTCGTGCAGCAGAACGAACGTCTTGCAGAGGACTACAGTCACAAACTAGAGGTGAGAATCTCCGTTTGTTGAAGATGTGTTGTAGGAGTGAATGAAGGGGAGTAAAAATGAAGGGCGTGAATGTTGAAGGGGCGTGGGTGGTGATAGAAGGGATAAGGCGTATTATAAATTACAAAGAGAACAGTAGGAACACTCCAGTAAACCTCAAAGCTGCAAGGAACGTACACAAGCTGTTTATTGTAGGCAAATTTAAATGTTCAAGTTTGAGAAAAGAATGTGACTGGCATTAGATATCAGTTAGTAATAGTTGATATTAAGTAATTCGTTTGCGACAGGGATTTGGGAATAATTATCAAAGAAGTTCTGCTCCTATATCTACATCACAAGACAACAAACACTTGAAACCTTGTCTTTCTCAACACTGACGCGTCTCTCAACATTTGTACTCGTGAAATCATCTGGAGGATAAACCCTTCATGCAAACTGTACGTAACATTAAGAAGAAGAAACCCAAGACAACGGTGCATTAATGTTCCCAGTAAGACTAGTTAAGAGACAGTTGTATACTTATAAGCGTTATCAATGCTTACAATACTCGTAGGAACATAAGAATGTAGTGAACAACTTTCCAGTGGGTAGGCCACTGAATGTTACCTGACAACTTATATAGTACATCCATATGCCGATTATTAGGTATTTTGTTCCAAGTGAAATAAAGCAATCCGAAGAATGCATAGGCCTAACCTATTGACCTGTGCGAGACGGCTGTTATTTATAACTAACCACTTTCTAGTGATTTTGCTTTTATGATAATACTGTACTTTGTAACGTGTTCCACAGATCTGCAAATCCATTTCCAAACAAGTATTTGCCAATTTAATTTCCAAATCTAAGCTTTCCTAACTTAAAATGTTTATTCCGATTCGCACTTGAGTTGATATTTTTAACACGTTGTAAGTTATTTAGGCTATATGCCCCTTATTAAACCCTTTCATTCAATTGAATCATATAGTTTAAATTCTATTTTCGTAGCTTCTCTTCATATGAGATTCCCTTTCATGAGGATCTGCTTGATGACTCTTCTCTGTGTATATTACTGAAAAATTACATCCTGGGTTTATATATTCAGCATCCCGCTCATAACCCCCATTGTTAAGAACACAAAGATAGAGGAAACAGCATAAGATATTTTAATCCATTCGAGATCATTTGAGACCATATATTTATATCCAACCACAGTTACTCACATATTTGTGTAACTTACGGGTCCTGTCGAAATCCACCCCTTCTAACTCATATATCTATCCAATAATTTATTGAAACCTGAAAAACTATTTCAGTAATGCTTGGTTGTAGGCCATTCCTGTCATCCACATCACTAGTTCCAGAATAATTAATTCCATATAGGCCTCCAAAAGAGAAATTTCTCCAGCATGTACCCATTGTTGAGGGTTCTGTTTTAATAGCTTATATTCCCCTTGTTTATTCCTTTAGCCCACTTGAAAATCCTATATTGATCTAATTTCTCTACTTTGAATATTACTTCTCTGCTTTATTTAAATATATATATATATATATATATATATATATATATATATATATATATATATATATATATATATATATATATATATATTCTATATTTTCTTCATTTACTGATCGATGGTCCGTCAAAGTATGGTCCCCAATCAGACTATAAATCTATAACTCTCCAAACCAATATTTACCCAATTTGTGAATCTAAACTTATCTAATTTGTATCCATCATTTCGTTTCCTATTTTGTGTTGATATACTTTGCTCCCTATTAATATCCCTCCTTGTTATACCCATTCATATATTTGTGCACTTCACTCATGAGCCCCCGTTGCTCTTTATTTTTTTAAATAATGTAAACTAGGTTAGGTGTAATCTTTCTTGTTATATTTGTATAAGGGAAATTCCAAATGTCCGGATTTAACTTTCCTTCTCAGTATATTTTGTGGAGACTACATTCATTCTTTTGTACGGTTCTCGCACAAGTCTCTCGTAAAGAATACTAATGTTAACTTGCAAGATTGTCATGCACTAATGACATCCTCACTTGGGTTATTCTGTACAGTTTTGGTCACCTTACTGTAGAATTAACATAAATTTTCTTGAAAACGTATCGCAAAGAATGATAATGTAATTTCCCGTTATCACAAATAATCCTCATAAAGAGATATTAAGAGTACTGAAGTTTGCAATATCCTAAAAACCGAGGAACTAGGGAATATATAATAGAGTTTTCCTATGGAAAAAATGTTTAAACGAGGTACTGTATTAAAATGTGTAATTCAAGATAGAATTTGAAACAATCCATTCAAATTTGACAAATTTAGATATCAAAATTATGTAGATAGCCTAAATATTGGCACAAGCTGCAAAAAAGTGGCATTAAAGAAGGTACCTTTATTAGTTTTAAGAATTGGAGAGAAATATTGCCCACATAAATGATAGACGTTGGTTTTACATGGAGATTTGCCTCGTAGGTCTACACTAGAGAAAGGTGGGAGCGTTCCCACCCATTTTTTCTGCTTATCCCTCAGGTTTAATTGATGAGGATCGTGCTGCTTCTCCTGCACCTGTTGTCTCTACTGTCAAGCATTACCCAATAGCATCACAATAAGAGAAGGGGGGAAAACCTCGCCTTGTGTAAACCCGGTCGTGCATGAAACGGCAAAATCAGATGGAAGCTCGCAGAACGCGCTGTTCACACCGGCGAGATGTAGATGAGAATTACATAATATTTATGTTCGTATCCACCAAGTTTAGATTTTTCCCACTTATTTTGTAATTCAAGAACAGTATCAATTATATGTAGATTTTAATTGGTTATAAAAATATATATATATATTTTCTTAGGTGCCTTGTAAACTGTATAACTATCTTTATTTCAAATGGAGTGTAGTGTTCGGTCGGTAAAAGAAATTCACAGCTTCATTGTGCGAGAAGATATTTCTTAATTCTAACCTATTGTGATTGTGCCATGATGTGAAAAACTGTGTTTAGTGTACCATCCATGCACAATGCTGTTTACTCTTTCTATCACCATCTCAAATTAAACGAGGAATGTTAAGGCAGAAAAGTTCTTTATATTCTCAAGCAATATATTACGTAGTTAACACGTGAAGGCAATATATATTGGATGTTATCCTAACATTCAGGGATACACTAGCAAATAACAGTTTGATAAAGATGTGTGAGAAGAAGCTATTAGGATATAAATTATTGTAAAGCTCATTATGTTGGATTGGGTAAAAACATTACAGAGTAGATCTAACAAGCCTGAGCACGGGGGGGCTTACGCCGAGAGATGACATGACACTAGATTTAAATTTAGATGATTACAACACATCTATAAAACATTCTAGTTGAACCCCTGGGACGTAGGCTACTTCATAGTATTATTTTGAAGTCAAGTGGAATGATAGTCACCTAAAATGGATAAACACGAAACTAAAAAACGTATTTGAAAAATAAAACTATGAACTAAATAAAGGAAGGAATTTTTTATATAAAACAACATTGATCAAACTAGCAAGAAATGGCCAATATCAAATACCAAAACGTTACCGTATCAGGGAGTCAAGATTACTAAGGGTCTTAACAAAAAAAATGTATAAATGATCGAAATAAGGCGAATAGGACTTGATTCGTTGAGTTGCCAGTTCCCAGGTGAACAATGTCGAAATTATCAAACATGAATGTGAAATATTTCTAAGAGTCGTAATTAGTAAGAATCTTGTGCCACAAAATCAGTTTATTAATGCTGAAAATAAAGCAAGTATTATACTGGGATTCTTTTCTAGATGGCATACTCCCCATGCGAAATACGTAGAGTACTGGTAGGTCTTTCTTGCACTTTTATATAATTGAATATGACAGAAAGGGTTTGACCAGTGATTCTAGCTACATATCATATCTATATATCGTAAGTTCTTCACTTAGGTAGGAAGTTGAAGAATTGTAAAATGAACTTATTGAATGAACTTTTACAATTTTACTTGGCTTTACGAGAGTCGCCGAAACACGTTTCGTTGAGGTCTCTTCAATATCTACAGTGACAGTGTATACAAAATGGATAGGTTAGCAATACCAGCAGGAATACCAGAAGTTCGGGACACACTGAAAGATGAGGCTTTCTCCCTCTGTTGGACACTGGGCAGAGGCGAGGCTCCTCTAATGCTGTTGATTTCGACGTGCCTCGTGTGCCATCCCTTGGAGTTTCCAAAGTACAGAGCATGCAATCCGTATTCATCTGATTCTGCCTAGCTGCAAATACACTTTTATGACATTCCTGGCTACATGACTCATCCCGGAGATCACAATTATGCTCAAGGATTTTGGTGAGCCTAGTCAGTGTTAAAGTGTTTCCTTGTTGGTCTTAATCTTTCCAATCATCCGTGTCTATTTATATCTCTATTCAACAAATAGAGGCGAACAATGTGGTAGATGTTTAACTGGATTGACCTCATTGATTCTAGGAGTTTACCCGCTCACGTAGCTCACGTTCTCTGGAACGTACATCACTGACAATGAGACTGAAGGTCTATATATGTGTTTTTAATTCAAACCCAGTACTGTACGTATGGGGGAGTAGGCCATCTAGATATGAATCCCAGTATATTATTTGCTTTATTTTCAACATTAAGAAACTGATTTTGTGGCACAAGATCTTTACTAATCATGACTCTTGGAACTATTTTCCATTCATATTTGATAATTTCGACAGTGTTCACCTAGGAACTGGCAACTCTATGAATCAGTCCTATTAAACTTGTTTATATTTTTATAAATGTGTGTGCACACACACACACACACACTCTCTCTCTCTCTCTCTCTCTCTCTCTCTCTCTCTCTCTCTCTCTCTCTCTCTCTCTCTCTCTCTCTCTCTCTCTCTCTCTCTCTCTCTCTCTCTCTCTCTCTCTCTCTCTCTCTCTCTCCTCTCTCTCTCTCCTCTCTCTCTCTCTCTCTCTCTCTCTCTCTCTCTCTCTCTCTCTCTCTCTCTCTCTCTCTCTCTCTCTCTCT